TTTTTTTTTTTTTTTTTTTTTTTTTGAGATTTGCATGTCTGAAAACGTTTGATTCTAAAATTTTAAACAGGAAACACTTTTCCTTCAGAAGGCATTGTTCTACTGACTTCTAGTTTCCAAGCTTAATGATAACTGTGATGACCTTTTGTAACTGTTTTTTTTTTTAACTTTTTATGAAACCTATTTTTTTCTCTCTTTGAAAGTCTGTTCGATCTCTTCTTCGTCTCATTTTCTGAAATTCCACAGTGATGTGTAATTCAGCTCAATTCTACAGACACGTATTGCAAGCAAGTACTATATACTTTATCTCACTAAATGCTCCAGGGTATACAAAGATATACACAAGTCCTTAGAGAGCTAGAAATCAGTGGAAAGTGTGGAAAATAAGGCAAACAGAATATTGATGAACATGTAATATAACACATATAAGACTTGTAATGGCAACATTTTTACAAATTCCAAGTGTTGGTATTTTTCAAAGGGGAACATTCCAGGGTCTCAATCTGATTCATTTCACTGGGAATCTAGCCTTCCCATGCAGTCAACAAACTCCATGTCTCTCACATCTACAGCCCCTGTTTAGCTCGTAGTGAGCTATCAATAAGAGCGTGACATTTTAAGTCCTGTGCTTACCGCCAAGAGTTGCTGTTACCCTCCAGGGGGCAGACTTTGCTACCATTCTGCAGAGTTCCTGAAAGCTGGACATCAATGCCAGAGGTCCCCTCCAACTTCCTGAGGAGTCAGTTGACATAGAACCAGGAGCCCGTTTTCAGGAAACAATTCCTAACATGTATTTCTCCTTTCCCTTCAAGGTATATCTATAGATACCCATAGCTGGAACATATAACTAGATATTGTACATAGTAAGGTGCTCGGTAAATGTTTTTTCAATGGATTAATACAGAATATTTCTCTCAATGTAATATCTATCCAATATTTATATAGCTGTGTGTCCCCTGGTGGGAATTATCCAAGAGTCAACACTATCCTGGTGGCTGCCAGAATATCATTATAATTATTATTGAAAACAATTTATTCACATTATCTTGTTTAGTTCTCACAACAACCCTATGAAGCAGGTATTTTTTAATCCTCATTTGATAGATTCAGAAACTGAAGGACAGTGAGGTTGTATAACCTGCCAAGATCCCAAAGCTAATAGTGGCAGAACAAAACTTCAAATATAAGAAGACCCAATCCAGAGCTCTCAATAGATCCAACTCACTCCACCACAAAAGCAACTCCAAAAATCACTTGAATTCTAGGTTAGTCCAGTTGGGATTTGTCGAAAGCTGAAGCACTACCCCAGAAGAGCTCATGAGTCAAGCCAAGTGGGAGAGGAACCTGTCTTATTGTCACTTGTTCTGATGCTATTTAGCTGCGGGACCCTGAGTAACACACCCATCTCTCTGGGTCCCAGTTTCCTTATCAATAAAATGAAGTTAAGAATATATTCTGAAGACTGTTGGGAGAGATCCATGATGATCTAGGGAAAAGAAACAGTGAGAGGTCTCAGAAGTCCTTCCAAGAGAACAGGTTCTGTGTTTCCTAAAGAATGATGGAAACACTGAAGGAATTTTGAGAATACCGATGTTAAATCTGTTTAGAAATTCTTAGAAGTGTATCAGTTTCCTCTTCAAATATTTCATTATAATCCAAGACCCCACAATTTCTGCCAAAAAGTGGGTGCCTCCAAGCAGGGAGTGGTAGTTTGAATCTAGTTCTCTCTCAGGGGAATCAGCAGTTCTAACCCAGCAGGGGGGCTCTGGCTGCAGGTTGGCATAAGCTGGGGAGCTTTAAACATGCAGATACTGTGGTCTACCCTCAGAGATCCTGATTTGGGGTGTGGCTTGGACATCCAGAATATTGCATTCCCCCATGTGATTCTAATATGCAACCCAAGTTGAGAACCACTGCCCCAGAGCTTTCAATTATTCACTTTTGTTCTGATGTTTAAAAAGGAAAGCAGTGGTGCTCAGTGGCTGTTTAACTTTAATGGGCAAACAAACAAATCACCTGCAGATCTTGTTAAAATGCAGTTCTAATTCTGAAGGTCTGGGGTAGGCTCAGGATTCTGCCCTTCTAAGAAGCTCCCTGGGAATGCCCAGGCTTCTGTCCACAGACTGCACTTGAATAACTAGGCTGTAGTTCCATGATTACAGACTAGAATGAGAAATATGGCTCTTCCGGCCTGCTGGGACCTTAAGTCAGAAGTTACTTCACTTCTAGGAGCCTCGGGGACTTTCTGTTTTGTTTCTGGCATACTGGCCAGTTGTGGGATCTGAACCTTTCACCTTGGTGGTGTTAACACCATGCTCTGAGTGGGCTAACTGGCCAGTCCTATGAGCCTCAGTTTTCTCATCTATAAAAATGCAGGCAAGGAAGCGTTACTACATCACAGAATTCTTTTGAAGCTAAAATGAGATAATGCATTAAAGGTGTTTAGCACAGTACAACAAATGTTAGCTTATTGTTAAATGGAATACTTAGTACCTGCCAAGAATTTTCCAAGTGGTTTTTTTTTTTTTTTTTTTTTTTTGCACTAACTTATTCAAGCCTCAAAACAACACTGAGGTAGGACTATTACTTCATTATGTCCATTTTACAGATGAAAACACTGAGGCACAGACAGGTGGAGTACCCTGATCTACAGTCACACACCTAGGAGTAGTTAGGGTGGTGTTTGAACCCAGGGGGAATGTGGGCTCTGTACTCCTCCTGGCCAGGGCTGAACTGATAGATGGATCAGTGCGAACCGTCACTTCTGCTCTGCAGCCTGCTTTCTGGCGGCGATGAGTTGAAGGGTTGACACTCAAGCACGGGCTGGGACCGGCAGGCGGCAGCCTAGGGCTACGTGGGCGCAAAGACCACTTCCAAGTCTTCTCCCAGAGCCAGCTTCTCCGAACTCCCCTGTCCCCCAACACCCTCGGATCCTCGCCTCGGAGGCTGCTCTGGATCCATCAGGAAACAGCAGCCCCACTTCACAAGTGGAAATCGGAGTTCCCCAATCAGACCACGTCCGCAGGGAAAGCAGAGCACAGCGAGTTAGTTCTGCATCTCCCCTTTCACCCGGGAGCGCAACCAGGCCAGGAAATCTATAAATCCCTCTTTATACCCCAAGTTCAGCAAGGGGTTGGGAGTCCAGCCAGCGGGAAAGTCGGGACTCCCTCTTGGATTGCCCAGGACACTTTCGGGGCGCCCGGCATGTGGGCACGCGCGCAGGGCATGTGGACCGGCACCAAGGAGACTCCCTGGGGAAGGATTTCCTCCTAAGGCGAAGGGGATCTCCTAGCGGGGTCCTCTGGGAGTGGGGCAAATGAATTTGAGGGGCAGTGCAGAGGTGGGGGTCAACCGGGCCGTTTCCATGGCGCCCAGGGCGTGGGGGAGGAATGCATCCCGCAAGCGGTGGCGAAACAACTGCGCTGTCGGGCGGGCCGGCTCGAGAAGGCGGGAGAGTCCGG